TACAGAGAAAAAATATAATACAATATATGGACATGATGTCTGATTTCATTTTGAAAGTGTTTCACAATTCCTTGACCATATATATACTTTAGCCTTGTACTCAAAATTGTGCATGCAATTCTAATTTTCAGTTTGCAAAGTGTATTACTACTGGACAAGCCATGGATTCAATGACATTTGACAGCAGCAACATCATGAGAATGAAGATTGCACTTCAACTTTTAGAGTTTTATGAAAATATGAAACAAAAGGTTAGTAGACAGACACAAAAGTAGTTGCCCATTTACTGAACACTGTTGAATATTGTCACAAGTTTGTGAAATAATGTGGCAGGTATATTTTCGCTATAAGTTGTTTATCAAATACACAGTGTAACTAAATTGGAATTATTTTAATTTTTCAAAATTGTTATTATAAACATTGTTCGTAAACGTATGCAATTCGGTAATAACTAACGACAGAGAGATCTACTAAACAAAATATAATCTGAAATACATATTGATTGAACTTTTTTTCAGGAGATACTGATTGACAATGATACAAGCAGTGATGAGGATCTTCCACAAGTATTTCCAGAATCAAACAGGTATAAATTTTATACATATTAAAAACATGCTATTTAAATATCAAGTTTTGTTATTGAGGGATTTTTGTGGAACCAGCTGAAAATTGGCAAATTTTATGAAATACGCACAGATTTTAACGAAAAACTGTGCATTATTCCAGGGCTTCCAAGTAACAGTACATTGTTCCATTGAAATTAGAGAATTTGCATTGAATTAAACCTAAAACTAAATAGGTCTGTGCATTATCACAGAGCGACTGTATGCCAAATTTCACTGAAATGTGGCATGGTTCTTCAGATATTCATGCAAAAGGCACACATACATATTTACATTAGTACACAAATACACTGACTGCAAAGACTTCCAATGACTGCTTAAAATAATGTAATATTGTCAGCAGCATATTTTCCTTTCGAAAAAAACTAACTTTAATGATGTTTTAAAAAAAATTCATTTGTTGTTATGCATTTGCCAACACAATTTGGGATGAGAGCATGGTTTTACAGTGTATCTTTAATTTTACGTAGACAAGAAGTTACAAAGAAAAGAAAAATAAATCACACATTGGTAAGTGGAGTTAACATTTGTGGATCATTGTGCTGTTATTACTAATTCTTACTAAACAGGGATAACAAAATATCTGCCTGATAACCAGTACAAGTTCGGTCAGAATACTATAATCCTTGAAAGTATACGTGTATAAATTCTTGAGACTGTATTTGTTGATGATATCTTAAATAATTTTGTAATTTTTGGTCACAAATATTATTTTTAAAGTTTTTGGAAACCACTGATTGCTTTGATATTTGGGTGGACTGCTATGAGATTTGTTTATTTTATGTCAATAGTCACTACTAGTATTAGCTAGAATATGGTCAAAAATTTATCACAACCACTAAAGTGATAGACTTCCCCCAGCAACCAGAAAATAAGAGGGCTGCATCTATTTTGTTCTCAAGTTTTCCAAAGGAGAGGGATTGCAGGAAGACTATTTTACAAGTCAAATGTTCAAGTAGCCCTGAATCCAGCATTTTGAAAGGAGGCTGCACCCTTTCATGTTCAAAATAGTATACCGGTATCACATAGTTTTGAAACTAACATATTTATTTTATTTTAAATTACAGGACTCAATACTTGAAGAACACCGAATGTGTAAGAGGTCTGCGTCAACTACAAAATGTATCACACATTGTAGGAAGAAAAAGGAAACCACTGGTAAGTTAAAAACAATACAAATACAGATTGCACAAACATGGCAAAATGTTTGCAGATTACAAGGTGTACTCACTCAAGCAAAGTATTTTGCCCCACACCACATTATGTCTATTCAGTGGTTTCAGCATAAAACAAAATTCACTTAGTATCACTACAGAGATCAACTAATTTTGTATTTTTACATGGCTTCAAAATAACATTGGCAAGGATTAAAACCATGCTTTTTTATTTTTGTTTTTGGTGTTCCAATACTAGAAATTTGAAAGGCTTTCAAAAATGTTGCAGACAACATGACTTTAAAGATATGGTTCAGGTATAATTGCCAGTGTCTGCAGATTTAACAACGTTTAACAATTTACATGTACCTGTTGGTACATTTGTTCAACAGAATCTGTTTTGTATAACTAATCATATTTTCTACCCATTGTAATATAGAAAAACACTATGAAAAGGTGAACAAGACATTGAATGTGAAAATGGAAGAAACAGAAGAAAGGTAAATTTTATGTAAACTCAATGAAATATACAACAAGTTGTACAAATCAATATGAACAGTATAAAAGACAGTTAATTAGTATGCTTATTATTATTAGTACAGTATGAAATTTGTAAGCACATAAATTATGCAATTAATATGCATGGATTTTAACCAACAACTAATCAGATCTGTGAATTGTACCAGAGCATTTATGTATTAAGTTGCATTGTACCATTATTTACTCTACATAAGGGAGACGAAGTCAAAATTTTTATTTTTCTTATAATGATATATAAAATACACTTCTGTTTTTAGTTACCCAATGTGCTTAAAAGAAAATCTGATTGAAGAATGGGACATGAATCAGGTAAGTACACAAATCCATCATAACATACAACTGTGTTTGCACCATTAGAATTATATTATACTAGTATTATGTAGAACACATCTGAAGAATCGGGGTTCAACCGCAAGGGTTTATTTTTGCTGGCTCGAGCCGGCTCAAGTCATAGGGTTCATAGAGACTAATTATGTTGTCTTGACGTCACATGCAACCGTATATTGTGGTTGGTCCCAGAATGATTACTTGCTTTGACAAAAAAGTCTAGTTCACAAAGACTGTACCATGCTTCAAAACACTATGTGATGACATTCTGAGACCTTCCTGCTTCCAGCATACCAATTGTGTGATCAATGATTGCAAACTCATACAGAGATCAACTAGTTGAGAAAAAATGGCCAAATAATGGCTATTTTAAAGTTAAAATGCAAAAAATTCAATGTTTTTGCCAATGAAGAACTGGATTTCCATAATGCATTGTCAAATTTCATTCAAACCAGGTGAATGTAGTGAACATTTTGGTGCATTGATTAACCTCCTTTTTGTAACTCTTATTTTGTCTAAGACATCCTAGCCCTAAAGATAGTACAGTTTAACAAGTTGGCATGAAATTAATTAATTTTGCCTTCTCCCTAATTAATGTTTACCACATTCTTTTCCAGATTGGATTTCACAAGATTGACGCAATCAATGAGTGCATTAATGTTATGAAGGAAGTAGTCCTAGACAATCCAAATATACATGATAACCCATCATCAAGGTAAGAATGTTCTGTGTTGTTATATCACATAACAATTTAATATGAATACATTACAATGTACACTCAGTGGTCAGATGGCGCTTCAGTATGTTTTTGGACTCAATAAAATTTGACATATTAACATATTAATTTGTACATGACTTTGATATTAGCTAACATTGTGTATAAGGATTGGATAATTGATGCCCTTCCCTATGTTGAATACAATGCAAGGATCTGGTTAGAGAATTTGATAGTAGAAGCATCATTAAATTATATCAAGTCCAAAGTATCAAAGCATTCAGGCTTTTCAAGAAGAAGTTGAAAAAGTAAAACATTGACATGGACGACGGACACCAGACGACGACGGACAATCACTTATATGATAAACTCTGCTCGACAAAGTCAACAGCGGAGCTAAAAAAGGTTGATAGATATGAAGATATGAGAATTTAAGACTAGATAACAATTAATCACCTTGAGCATTGACTATAAAAACTCAAAAATATATTGCTACAAATACTAGTATTAGTATTTCTGCTGATTCTCATGTAAAAACACCTGTCATGCACTGACAATGTGACCTTAATTTGACACAGTATGAGCCTCATCATGGATAAACATCATTCAAAGAGATGCAGATCATTGCATTAATTAAAATAACAATTACACTTACAGGACTACACCACTCCAGGCTCTATGGCACCACCAATTCCCATGTAAATATTTTACTCAACCAAACATAAAAGATTGCAAAAAGGACAAGAATGTAGAGAGCCAGTATGAAACTGTACTTCGAAGAATACCAGATGAGGTAAGTAGTTAAAGCTAGTTGTAATTAGTGAGTTAATGTTTTATCACACACTGTAGTGTATTGTTTGTCAATCACTATCTACTACAATTTACATGCATATACTAACGATTCTGTTAAATTACAGATACAGAACTTCGTTCTGAAAAAGGTCATGGATTCATTTACATCACGCAAAAAACCACAACAAGTTTGCCAAGCATGGTAGGTTTAAGCAGCAAATGAAAAATGCACACTGTAAATTTTCATATGTAAAGATCTGGTGCTACATGTAGATGTATAATAATAATGAATAAAAAAGTCCCTGTTGGTTCAATAGTGAATAAATTTGAAATGAGCCAGTCCTTTTGAACAAATGACATGGTGTATAATGTATTTGATTTGATGCTTTGAGACATGGCTGTACAACAGCATATGTATGACATGTTGTATGATATCTATAAAGTTTAAAAATGAATGATCAAGGCATGTCAGAAGTAAATTAAAACAAAATTGTCACCAGTCAGCCATTTTAAAACCGGTCTAAAAACACAAAACCATGTACAATGTTCTATAATTTCCAATGTATGTAAAAAGTATACTCAAAATCCATTCATGTACGACGAAGATCTACCCTGTATTAGAAGCCGCATTTTTTTTGAACAATTGAGAACGAAAAAATCACAATTTCTAATTTGTGTAGATGTTCTAATAGAAACCGCATCCCCTCTGTTGCATTGTACCATTTTAATAGAAATACAAATACAAATTTTATAGTAGTTTTGAAATTGCAGAACAGCAAGATTTTTAAGAATTGTTAACATTTAAATGACTTTCATTCAGCCATCTAGAATCAAAGTGTATGATGTTTATGTGAAGGTGTGTTCAGCCAAGACATGTCCAAATACAGCTTCAGTTAAATGGACAGATATATGTACACATGTACACATAGAGGTCAATCAATAAATCCCAAATGAGGACTAATAAACAATTCATGTGTTCAAAATAACTCATGTGGTAAGCAAGAACAATCAGTAATTAAGTGTTGATATTTACTCTTACTTTGACTTCAGGGAAACTGAATACCAGATACCAAATACAATTGAGATTATTAGCAAGTCATTAATGGAGTAAGTAAGCAAAAATTTTATATATATGACATGGTATGTGAATTATAAAACAACTACAATAAAGTACACATCCATAACCTGCAGGAGTCCTTCTTTGGTCTTATATGCATTATGATCAATTAAATTTCCCAAATTTCCGGAGCCAGTGAGCATTAATTTCATTGAGCATTTTAAGTAATGATAATTTTCCAAAAACTGTCATTTGCCATTTAAATTTGCAGTGACTTCCAAGAAAATTTATTGCCACTAATAACCTCAAAATTACAATAGTTGTATAGCAGACAAAGTTGCACAGTGTATCCTGTGAGTAATATAGAGGAATATGGTGAATAATTAGATCATCACCATCTCAACATTTTATTATAAACTACGGTAAAATTTACGTTAAATGTAATTCATTTATTTTACAATTCTTCACATAGGAAGCAACATGTTAGAAAAGAATATTATTTCCAAGTTATTCAGAAAACTTGTTTTGTATTATTGGGCATGAAATTGAGAAGCAAGATGAAGATGACAACAGTGGATGGTACTGAACAGGAAGAGTTTATTGATGTTGAAAACTAATGCCTTATTTGTTCAATTACTATTCTACATAAACATCAAGATTTGTTCATTACCTGAATTGTCACAACTGCTCTCTCCGTTTATGATTCAGGCTAAGATGATAGAATAGTAGGATACTATTCCAATTTCAGATCCTGTGCAATTAAACTTAGTTTCCCAGATTCACATGCATATTCACAACTTGATTGCCTTTTTAAGTCTATTTTTATGAATTGCACATGTGATTTTTGTTTGTCTCTTTTGATAGCAAATCCTTAACACATAACTCTATAGGATTAATAAACATGACTTTTGTTTTTAAAAAAAAAGGACTTTTGTTTTAAATGTTTTTTACCAAATGTTGTCATGTTCTAATTTAATACCTCACTTTTAAGAAACAACTGTTAGTTAAAAACAGACACAGTTTTATCGACTTAGAGTACCAGGGTATAAAGTCCTATTTTATGTTCAAAAGAAACAAGTTGGCTTCTGCATGTGTTAACAA